ACAATAGAGTGAACAGGATTCAAGTGATGGACATCCACTACTAGTTGCTTTACTAAATATAAAATCGATTAATTAATTTCGAAAACATGTATAAGAGGGTCAAAGAACCGAGGTACTTGTCAAAATTTGAATTTTTTTATATTAAATCAAAAGCTGATTATCTACAACCATCAAATGAATATTATAGACAGCTGAGTTGTGATATTTTTCACTCATGTTGGCTCGGCAAGTAAATGAGATATAGTATCTTAAATAGCTTATTTTTTCTCAGTTGTTAATGATCTATCTTTTGATACATTGTACGAAAAAAAAAAATCTCTGACCCAGTCTTTCGAATGGATATAAAGAATCAAAAAAATCAAATTGAGACCAGTATCTCGGTTCCTCTATGAGTGTTCCCTTAATTAATGAAAAACAATTTAAAAATTACTTGAATTTCGCTGGATCTTGACAACAATCAAGACAAAGAAGATTATTAAGCCATAATTCAATAGGATCATCAATACCATATCGAATTGGTTCATTTAATTCTAATTCATTTAATGTACGATTATTTGTTGTTGTTTTTGTTGCTGTTGTTAAAACAGCACTTTGTTTTCGTAATTGTTCAAGAAGTTTTAATGAAAGTGACCGTCCAGTACCTTCATATCCATTGATTGTTGATGAAAGAAATATTAAATAATTTGCACTAGTTAATAATTGTTTTACAAGTGGAAGTGGTATTGCTGCTGCTTCGTCAATTATTAATAATTCACATTGACTAAGACGTGATGATTCAGTCGGTTGAATGTACTAGAAAAACAAAGATTTATTGTTATATTTTTCTATTTTCAAGTTGCATCGTGTTAGGTATCGGCCTAGAAAGTAGTATAAACATTTGTTATTTCATTAGTAGAAAAGAAAACGATTGCTCAAATTTGAAGAATTTTTAAATATAGTCTAAATTCGTAGGAAAAAATTACGAAACAATCATTTCTCATTAATCTTGGACGAATTTCGCACAGTTCAATTTTTCATCAAAATCAACGATTGATCGCCGTTCATACAAAGCACCAATTCTTCTTTAGATCGACATTCACGAATATCCTTACTTCTCAGCAACCGTGCCATAGGTGGCTTGACAGACTTCCTGCACTGACTTGCTTGGATTTCCCATGTACACCACAAAGATAAGTATATGTTACAAAGTGGATAGCCTACAATCGGACGAATGGATGATTCGAGACAAAGAGCCGTTAGTGGCTTGTCTAGGATCATTCTTTAGTTAGTGACAGCGAAGTATGAGCACATTAACTTATGGATATGTGTCAAACAACATAGTCACTCAATCAGAGCGGCTTGAGAGTATCAAAAGTATGGTTATTGCGGTATTATTAATCTACAGAAGTACCGAAAACTCTATTATTCAAAGAGTCTGCTCCTTTCTTTTAATCAATATTGTCTGCCTTGAAGAGGTCGATTTCTTCTAAAAAAAAATAGCCAACTGAAATACATTCCAACATGTTATATTCAATGACCGTCACACTATTTCCTATTGATTAAGTATTATAACAAATGACTATTTGTATTTGATCAAAGTCGAAAACTATACGAAAGCAGTCAACATGGTCGGCGAAGACGACTTAAGCGCCCTCACACTACCAAAGACACATGATACTGACTGAAATCTAACATATTCCCGAAATTTAAAAAAATTCATATAATAGAAATTGAAAACCATCAAGCAGAAGAACCGTAGTTTTCGTAACATGGATAAATATCTCTTTCTATTACGAGTTTTGAAGAAGGAAGGGTTTGATAACATATTTTTTGTCGTTAGAAATCTGTAAAAGGAGTATCTCCCTAATGAGTAAAAACACATGATAATAAATTTTTTTCGAACTTTGTGCCAGGTGGCTTCGCTTATAATGATTTCAATTCTAGTCTACGTTTTGAAATGTTTAGTATAAAAAAAAACATCCTTGAGACATTGTATCAAATTTTTTCTTTTCTAATAAAATCATATTTATTCTGTATTTATTAGAAAACATACTTGAATAACTTGTCGATGTTGTTTAGGTCGATGAATAGTTAATTGAATAATATTTTTTTCTTTATGATCATTTGATGAATACTGTATATCATAATCAATATGATCTTGATAATCAAGTGTATTAAAACCTTTTAAAATAAATTCAAATAAAATTTTTAAATTTTCTGGTGCTGGTGAAGTCACATAAATATTTGAATATCTAAAGGACACAATCAAATAATCATACAATATTCAAAAAACAAAAAAAAAGAAAATCTCTTCATACCCAAATGCAATTGCACCAGAAACAGCTAATCCAAGTGCTGCTGATTTTCCACGTCCACGTGAAGCAGTTATAGAACATGTATGTCGAAATGCTTTATCCGTAATTGAATCAAGTAATTTTAATAAAACTTTTCCTTGATCTAATGTTTTACAACATTCAATTAAATTTCCAATTGGTTGTGTTTCTTTTAATGAATAACATAATTTTTTTAATTCAATTTGTTCTGGTGTTAAACTATTTTCTTCTGTTTTTGATGGTAATACTTCTATAGTTAAACTTGCATTTGATGAACATGGTAATACATTAAGTTGATCATCAACAATTAAACATTGTTCAAATGATGATAAACTTAATATAAAACGTTCATTAAAACGTGGTTCAGTTTGTCGATGTGTTTCAGTTCGATAACGTGCATGAACATCCATGGTTAATGTATATAATTGTTTAAGTGAACGCATTGTTTGAAGAAGTAAAACAACTAAACCACCACCTTCAACTGTTTCAATTGTTCGAGCTAATAAATTTGGTGTTAAAGCTTCAAAATCTTGTAATACACACATTCCAAATGTACGGCCAAGAATTTTTGGTGTATCAGAATAAAATGTATAATGAATTTGTGTTGAAGAAAGAAAAACTTCAAATGGATTATCATCATCACCAGCACCAGTTGAACCTGTTGCTTGTTGACGTTTACGCATTTGTTTCATACGTTTTTTACGATGACTAAAAAATTTAAAGAAAAATATTCTTTGAAAATTCTCCTATGATAAATAATGAAGTACGAACGTTGAAAAATCAAGTTCTTTTTTGTAACACCATAATACAGTTGGACGTGCTTTAACTTGAGCTTTTGAAAGCATATGATGAAGAATAACAACCTGAAGAAAATCGAATTGATTAAATAAGAAAATAAAAATCGAAATAGAATATTACTTGATCACGACCTTTATCGCCAACAACGACGATTAAAGAACGATGGAAAGATTTTATTCCATTTTCAATTAATATACGTATACGGTTATCGATTTTCTTTTTCACCATCTAAAATAATCACGAATGAATTTTTATGATCATTCTAATAAACTTGATTTCATATTCGAATTCTAATAATCATGAATAGAAGAAGTTCGAAAAGAGTTCATCGGGTTGGTTCTCGATCAGATCGGCTCTAGTCGTCTGAGAAATGTGTAGGATGCACTTGTCACTGAATCCATAGAGCTGGAAAAGAATATCTCGTATTTTCGAATCGACTATCCAATGTTACTTAGATAGTTTCATTGAGAATATCAAAGTACAGTTAGACCAAGTCCGGATCAGACGGGCTCAAGCTTTGAATTCACTGAGATTTTTTCCTGCAACTAATCAAAAGTAATATTTCAGCAAGTTTGAAGGAAAACTTCAACAATAAAAAGACTCTTGTTATTCAAACGTTGTTATCATAAAGTTCATTAGAAAGTCTCGTAGAAAGTAACCTTTCCAAAACAGACAAGATACGAAAACTTTGATGTACTCAAGTATAGAATGTCTACATTTTAACAAAAACAACTGGCAGATCGTTGATGAGAGAACCCCTTCAGCAATTTTTTCAGATTTCAATGAATTTTTTCTCTATGGATATTACATAGTGTTCTAGTAGAGGCTCTAAATCAATATGGGTTCTTATTGATACTTAACGAAGCGATCGAATTTTTTCTAGAGATCCTATGTTTTTGTAAAACACATTTTATGGTTTAAAGCTTCGTGCATACAGAGAACTATACTAGACTATCATCTCTAAAAAAAACTCACAAAATTTGCTTTGAAAAACGAAGTTTTCAAAAAATGTATATTGTATTCACCATCCATGAAACAGATTCTGTATTCGCATGTTTCATATCTGGAATTTTTTCGATCGAAGTTAGTCTAGTTAAGTTCATTGTTTGCAAAAAATTCGATAGAATAGTTAAATAGAAGTAGGAACCCTGATTTCTTTCAGGATTTTTATTAAAACACTATGTAGTATCGATGTACAAAAATATCATCGATATTGGAAAGAGGCAGTTGCATAGATTCTTTCGCAAGGTCTTTCTATAGTGTTAAACTGTACATTTACAACCGTGGAAATTTCTATTAGTTATCTAAATAGGTAATGATTGCTACACAAATACGAAAAAATCCAAAATCCAAAATCAGTTTTTTATCATTGGCTAAAACAATTTTCGAATGGTAGTGTTTTATGAGACCCTTCTAGGTGATGCTACTTATTTCACAAGTTATTTACGAGTATTCAGATTTTTCTAGATATTCTAAAAATAATTTTTAGACGTAGTATAAATTGAAAACAGTCATAGATAATAGATGTCACTAGTTGTATTAATGATCAAAGGTTAAATATTTATAAAAATTTATGTAATTTATTGAAATATCATGAAATAAAAACTTAATTCTTGTTTTTATTGTATTGACCAATCATCAAAGCTTTTTCTTAAAGACACGATTTCAACCAGTTAGAATAGTTCTTTTCCATTCATTTGTTTTTCCTATTCTATTGAAGTTTACCTCGATTTTTGTTTTAGATTTTCTGTTATTAGTTTGTTTTTTGAGTGTGTGTGTTTTTCCTATATATTTTTTATTCTACATCATCCATTTTATATCAGTGGATAGTGATATATTATCACACAAAAAATACGATCCGGTGGTGCTTGCAAATTATAGACATCAAATATGAGTATTAATAAGGATAATTTGGATATGATGATGACAGGAATATCTATAACAGATGATGCAGAAGCTGATGTATTAAATGATGAAACATTTGGTGATTGTGATTTAGAAGCAATTAAAATCAAATCAGATTTTGGAGAAAATGGGGAATTTCTTGGAGATAATCCACCAGGAGATTTACCGGCATTTTTTGATACAGATGTACCTGATACCGGTGGTATTTCACTTGTTGACGATGATGATCAATCTCAACAACCATCAATTGATGCTCTATTAGGTGAAGATCCGATGCGTTTTTCAACAACATCAATACATCGTCGACCAGGTCCATTTATTCAACAATCATCAATAAATCCATTATTTAATATGGCTATATCACAAGCACAAGAAAATAATCGTATGAATTTATTTCCTCAACAACAACAACAACAACAACAACAACGATCACAACAACAGCAACAACAAATTCCGCGTGTATCACCAATGACATTACCACAACAACAAATAAATTATCAATTATTAAAACAATTTGAACAAATGTTAATTAATAAACAAGTACCACCACAAGAAAGGCTTATTTACATTCAGGCTATGATGGAAAAAATGCAACGTGATGCTATAAATGCACAACAACAACAACAAATACAACTGCAGCAGCAACAATTACAATTACAACAGCAACAACAAGCAGCAAGAGTAAGAAACCTTTTGTTCTTTCATTAAACTTATCAATTATAAGAAATTTGAGGCATCTACTGGCAAAGGCACTTATTCAAGTGCCACATGTCTTAATAAAAAATCCTAAAAGAATCAGGATTCCTATTCATATTTAACTAAATTATCAAATTTTGTGCAAATAATGAACTTAAGTAGACTAATTTCCATGGAAAATAAAATCGAGATACAAAATATTCAAGACATAGACTCTGTTTTATCGATAGTGTATACAACACACATGTTTTGAAAGCTTCATATCTCGAAGCAAAACTTGTGAATCTTTTAGAGGAGGTAGTCTGGTTCAGTTAAAAGTACGAGCTGTTCGAAAACCTGGAATCTCAAAGAACAACTTCATAAGATCATTGAAACTGGAAAGAGAAATTTGAGGAAGGTTCTCTCGTAAACGAAGATTTTAGGTTAGTTAACAACTGCAAATGAAACTATGTACAAGATCTATTTTAGTTCTATAGCTTCACAAACAGGATTAGCAAGATTTCATGTTTATAGAAAAATATTCATTAAGATTATTTTGGATTTTTGTACAGCTTCTCTCTTTTTTATGTCTGAATTTTTTCTAAAGAATTAATACTTAAACAAATAAGGATTTCTGAAGACTTGTTTAAATGCTTTAAGCGCAATTCCCATTTGAGCATTTTCATTTCCATTCAGAAAATACTAAAACTAGCTACTTTCATTGTAAAAGATAATGTTTGCAATAATTTGATTTACTTTTCAGATGAAAGTTACTTTTTTTGTGCGTGATATATGTCAAAAATATTGCGAGAAAACGTTTTCCAGATGCCAAAGTTACCTTTTATCATGAAAATAGCTGTAGGAAGTCAGTAACCACTCGTCTGATTATAAGACTAGAATTTAGTAGTCTCTGCGAAGCTTTGTTCGAAAAACTAATTTTTTTTGTAGACAATAAACTCCCTCAGGCAACGTCTTCTGTTCCGCGGAATTCTTTATAATTGTTAAAAAACTAATGTCAGATTTTATTAATGCTAAATTCTGATGAAATATTAAAATCTATGTGGTTTTCTTTCTATATAGCTTATGAACTTAAATATCAACGGTCATGATCGTTTTCATGAAGCAAATCCAAATCGAGTTTTAAATAATCCTATGTTATATGCTCAACGTCAACAACTACAGCAGCAGCAGCAACAACAACAGCACCAACAACGTGAAACATCCATGCGTTCAATGGCAATAGGTGAAATGTTGGAGCGAGCTCGTTTAGCTGCTGCAAATGCAACAAATTCCAATAATTCACGTTCTCAATCACCATCTGTTGGTAATACAGGAATGTCATCACAATTTCTGGATGCCATTCAACGTTCGGATCAAATACCTATTGTTGATAATCATCAACAACATCGTACAGCTGAATCTCCATCATCACCACTTGATACTATTGTTAGTCCATCATCATCATCACGTCATTCAAGACAAAATCGTCCAGCAAAACATTATCCTCGGCCACCACTTCTTAATACATGGCAAGGACGTGGTCCTGGTTATGATGAATTTGCTGGTATGATGACTGATCGTGAAAAACAATGGGTCGTAAAAATTCAACTTCATCAAGTATCACAAACACAAGAAGAAGTATGACAAGATATATTGTTTATAAACAAAAACAAAATTTATTGATTATTTTTCTCTTCATAGGATTATTATTTTCATAAATGGTCACAACAAAAACGTCATTTGCAACAGGTACATGGTAATCAATCAAATCGTCATGAACATCGAGGACAATATATTAGTTATCCAGTATTACAATTATTAAAATCAATTCAACAAGAAAAAGAGTAAATATTCATATAGTAAAAAATATTCTCTTGTTTAATTTGTTGTTGTTAGACTTGCACAACGCTTATCTCAATCATCAATTCAAGCAACATTTAGTAACGTTAATCCAGCACATGCATTACCATATGCATCACCAATACCAACACAACTTGGTAAACAATCAAATGCAACTCCACGACATCCAAAATGTATTCTCGATCTTGATGGTATGTTTTTAACTATAAATATATTTCAAGAATTCTAAAACAAAAGAATAAGAATCTACGGAGAATAAATAAATCCTGTTTGTTGAATATCTTTCGAAAACATTATGATATCGAATTAAAAATTACATGCGATGGGAATGCATTTCATCCGAGATCGATTTTGGAAGAAAAGACTCTATAAGTTGTACAATGACTTAAGTGATTTGCTATAACGACAGTAAATTGAATAAAGATGTTTTCATTTCGCGTTTATCTGTATACTGAAGGTTTTCTAAAAATGACTTGTTCAATGTAGTCAGTGTACACACTTTAACTCAGCTATAAACTAGATAAAATTTTCATAGATTGTTTGTTTTTCTGTCTGACATGTCTATTCAATTAGCATCAGTGCTTGTGGAGTAAGATATAAATTTTCTAAAAAACTTAGTTTTTAAAGATTTTTTCTATTCTTTTGTCTCAAAAATATTTTCATAGAATAATAATAATAAGATATTTAGAATCATTACAGAAAACTATATCGAATGATGTAACATTTGTTAAGTCTTAAAATACCAACTTTTTTTTGGCAAAAGCTTCAGGTAACGTTTCTCTCACACATTTTACATCGACAATGTAATTTTACGAATTTCACTTCTTTTTTGAGTACTGGAGTTTATATTTCTATGAAGAAAAGATGCGTTCTTAATAGAAAATAAGTCATACCTATCGTTTATCTATCTCGAATATTGAAATTAGCATTGGCTCTTCAAGTTCATAGTTCCTTTTCTGTTGGCGAAAACTATAAAATCATAGACAGAGATATAATTCAGTATTGAAGGCAGAAGGTTACAGAGAATGGTTAAGTTCTAGAAAAAACGGCGTTGTGTGGACAGTGTTCAAAAGCATAGGGAGGTGTCACACCTAGATATGTGCGGAACAAGTAGCATATCAGATTCACTGTGACTGGTCAAAAAAGAAGCTAAATATCATCTCAATCAGAAAGTAACCTTAAACAATAATTATTTTTCTTTCATAGGTCAATTTGCATTAGGTGCACGAAACAATGCTATAACACATGATAAATATACATTAGGTTTATTATTAAATATTGAAAATATTCATCGTGATATTTTACGTCTTGATGATGATGATGAAACACCCATAACACCAAGTAAAACTCCATCTGAAACAAATACATCAGATGGTACAACAACAACAGCAGCAGCAGTACCATCAGCATCATCATCAATAACAACAACAACACAATCATCAATAATTCTTGATTCAATTATTGATCGTTATTTAAATCATCCTGATTATTTATTTGCTGATATGTTTGCACAATTTAATAAAGGTCAAATATTACTTGAACGTCTATATCCATATTTAACAACAACATCAATAACAAATCATCTTGAATTAATGCTTATACGTTTATATGGTTCATTAAATTATATGATACGTCGTTGGCCAACAACATTTCATATTGAACCAATTGTTATGAATATGATTAGTCTTATGCAACAACAAGTTAATATAAAAAAGACAACATTTGAACAATTATTATCACAAGTTTATATTTATTATGATCAAAAAATAAAATCAAAATTATTAGAATTAAATCCAACTGTATCATCAAGTCCATTTTCCGATCCAGTTTTATTTACAAATTCTCATACAGTGACTATTTTAATTGAACTTTTACTTACATTAGAACGTCGATGTTATCTATTACCGGGTATGAATTCATCAACATTACCTGTTCAATTAATGCAACAATTACAACCACAATTACAATATCAATTATCTGAACATGTTCGTTTACTTGTTAATGATTTATGTCAAGCACTTGTTTCATGTTCATCACCAACATATACACCGAAAAAAATGCTTAAACCATTTGCACAAGTACAACAACAACAATTTACTTTACTTTGCAAATTTCTTCGAATACAAATACCACAACATATATATGCTGCACTTGAATCAAAACTTATTTTTTGCTGTATTAAAGATATTTAAGATGTTTGTAAATAGGTTCTTTATACTTATTCTTGATTCTAGAACATAAATTAAACGTTTATAAGAGAATGTCGAAGTGAAAAAAAAAGCAAAGAGCAAAACAAAGAGAGACAAACAAAAGCAACGGAGTTTTTTTTTTTTTATTATCTTTAAAACTTATTTCTATTTTTTTTTGTAGTGTGTAAAAAAACACACACGATCAGAAAAGTAGAGATGAATAACTTTGAAAGTAAAATAAAGAAGAACAGCAGACGATGGTTTTTTTTTCTTTTAATGATTTGTTTTTTTAACGCCATGGTACAGGATTGATTGTTGAAGAATATTTGATTCTTGTATGTGAAGAAGGATTTATGGCTGGTAAATGAAAGGTTGATTGGGCGTTTTTTCGATGTGTTTGATTTCGTGAGAAGTATGTTGAATGATGATATATTTGAGCTACAAAGAGAAATATGTGATAGAATTATTAAAAATTAATTTGATTTTTATTAAATGAAAATTTTTCAAAGTATAAAAATAATAGTTAAATGCAAACATAATTTCAATGTTTTTGCAACTACATTCAATGTAATAATGTATAGTATGTGATGTCGGTCATATTTATCAATGCTCATTAATATATGATAGTCTAGGATGATGAAGTTATGTTTATGAAAGAAAAACAGACGCAACAGAATGCTATTTGTCAGTAACAACTAATTAGAAGTATTAAAAAAAATGTGCCGTACGTGCTAGATCTAGATGAAAATCAGTTCATATGTAAACAAAGAGAGATGCCTATCCAACTGTATTTATATGAGCTTCAAGTACTTACGACGACGTTTTCAATGACATAGTAGATATAAACAGAATAAACTTAATAATCAATATCTCAAAATCAACCAGTAGATTTTTTTAAGAAGTTTTAATGAACTATGAATTCATCATATGTAATGTAGCACAATTATACAAAACTATACGTACCATCTAGGGAATGCGTACGACTATCTTCCGTACTCACGCCCTAATTATCATGTTCGTTCTATTTATATCACTATTATTAAAAGAGACAATGTCATTTAAAACATCGTCTTAGGTACTTCAAACTTCATTAGTTATTGTAGGATAGGGATCACTCTTTAGACTTACTCAGGATAGAACACAATGTTTACGATGAATAATAAATAGAGCTTGTTAGATTAGTTCGGATCTAAAAACTTTGGAGTGGACGAGTTCGAGTGATAAAACTCATTAGCTCGATCTTTTGATAATATTGATGCCCACCGTTGGAACTACATGGGCGCCTTGGTTAAACTAGAAAAAGTCTAAAAGGTTTTCTCCTCATGCATCAAGTTATGATTGTTTTAACGAATTTTCAATCGACCTTGACATATACGCTGGATAATCAAAATAGAGATTTTCATCTCTAGATAAATTTCATCACCATTGGAATATTCCTTGATTTGAGATATTGAATTTTCAAAAAAACTTGATTTTTGTGGAAAATGATTTTTATCTGAAAATTCAATACCTCAACAAAGGAACATTCATTTCGACTGAAACTTTCAGAATATTCTACTAATCGTTCGAACTATTTGTGGACGAAATTTTAGATCGAAAGCTCAGTAAAACGGTCATGATTCGACTATAGAAGTCCATGAGCATGAATTCTTTTAGGATTTTTCTTGTCTCCTTTGTGAACTCAATTTTGAGCTCAAACTGTCGGTATCAATTACTTCAAACATCAAGAAAATTGCCACGATTAAGTATTTAATTAACAATCTCTATGAATTTATTAGTCAACTTTCCTATAAGTATGGTTTTTTTTCTCAGCATTGGTAAAAAACTTTAAATTTCTTATCTTCATTTTTGAAAGTCATTTACTTTCATTCTGCTGTTGTTGTTTGGATCTCTTAGCTTTCTGATATGTAGCTGGTCGTATAAATGTCTGTTGTTCATGAAGAATAAAATTTTGTTTAATATGTGGTGAAATATTTTTTGATTCTTTTTTATCTTGTTGATATTTTGGTGTTGATGGTGGTGTTGGACTATAACGTTCAAATTCATCATCATCATAATTTTGATTGACAAGTATTGGTATATGACCATGAGAAGGACCTGATGATGATTCACAAAATGTTGGAATTTGTATAGGTGAAATCATATCACGAGTAGATAATTGTTTTGATGAACGTGTCCAAGTATATGCTTTTCGCATTGATTGACGAGCAGAATTAATTTGTTCATGAGAAAATGTTTGATCAACACGATTTGGTTGATAATGATGGTATTTAGATGTTGTTGTTGCTTGAGATACACGTATTTTAGGCGAATGAGTTAAAATCGGTTGTTGAGAAGCGATATAATTGTGCGTGTAACGATCCGATACTGAAATAGTTCCTTTTTAATTATGATAGAAAACCGATTTTTTTTTGTTCAATTACCTTTAATTGGTAAGTTATCGTTTTTAAATTTAGTTGTTGGCGGAGATGTTCGTGTATGAGAATATAATTTTTGTGTTGATTTTTTTGGTGATAAAATTTGATTTATTATCTTATTAGATTTATCCGGTGTTTGGAGAAAAGTTGTATTAGTTCGATTTAGTTTTAATTGAAGGTCATTTGTAAAATTCGATTTTTTTTGAATCCATGGTGGTTTATATTTAGTTCGTCGTTCTAATAATTGTTTAGCTTGTTCAAGTGTTCGTCGATGATTATTAGATGGTGTAATTCTTTGAATTTTTTCTTGATATTGTTTATTATTATTATTATTATTATTGTTATTATTAGATATTTGTTGTTTTCTTTTCTCTCGACTATTTGATAATTGTACATCATTATTTATCTGTTGTTTTTCTTGTTGTTGAATAGAAAATATTTTATCACCAATTCGAATTGATCGTTGTTTTATTGATTCAAATGGTAAACGACGCTGATTTCGTTTAATACATTGATTTTCATTTATATGTCGTTTATAAACATTTATGTTATAACGTCGTTTACATAAATCACAAGTAATCAATTCATTCTGTTCAAGATTTGTAGTTGACATAGAAATCGTTAATTAGATAGTTTGATTCTTTTGAAGAATATATATTAATAAGTGCTGAATTAGTAAATCTAATATGCGCGATCATTAGAAATCAGTTTCTGCTCTTTTTGATTTTATATGGATTTATTTACATTCATAGTTATTTATATAAGAGTTCTTTCTCTCATTTATGATTTTATAAGATGAATTGGTTAGAAATATGTAATAGAAAAAAAAAAGTTCTGATGTGTGTGCTAGCGACCTCATATACATCAAAATTTCTAATCAATTACGATATGTTTAACTCATTGACCAATTCTGACTTTTTTTTTCTCATATGATTGATATTATGACTTTGCACGAAAAGCTCAAATCTTCTGCTTTTTTTTTATACATGTATTCAAATCTATTGAAGCGTACTCTAGCTCAAGGTATGTATATTAATGTGTTAATATATACTAACACGCCCTTCAATTCATAGCAAATCGAGAATACGAATGAGGACGATTTTTTTTTTCGTTTTTTTTATGAGTATGCAATCGTCCGAATTGTTTTTATGCGTTTCATTTTTCTTGTTAGATGAAATGTACTTGACCATTATATAGGTCGAGTCTCTCTTTTTTTTTCTGCTACATCATGTTCGAAGTTCGAAAAAAAATTCTTATCTTTTTTATATTTGTGGTGTGTTACTTGTAGATAAGACGCAGTTGTTTTGAAAGAACACATGTCCTCGACCATGGATGCTACTCAGTCGTTTTACACAGTAAAGTTTTCTTATGGGTTTTATTTTATTATAAAATTAAAAAAAAATTTATTTAGAGAATATTACGCAATTATGAACCACAATTAAGTGTACTATATGAAAAAACTCAATCATTAAATGAAGAATTATTGAAGTCATATACACCATTACAATTAATTGCAATAGCATCACTGGCTACTGCATGTAGTATAGGGCTCTATCAGTTTTTATTTGGTCGTGATGAAGGTAAATTTTAATAATAATAATATTCTTTGTAGAAGATTTAATGCGCAATAGAAAAAAAAACTCACTCATTAACCTTCTTCACTATTATTCACGTGCTATTACGTCAAAAAGACCTTCACGTTAAAAATAGAGGTTACGACTTTGTGAACATGATTTCTTCGTTATGCTTTTTATTGATTTTACTATCTTGTGCTGACAGTGATACTTTCCGCTGATGTTGACATTCTACATAAGTTATTGTCCCCTTTATCAAGTTTAGTTTTATTTATGTTCACTATAGATTCAGTTCTTTATCTGACAGCGGTTGATGAATTAATTGTGCTGTTGGTGACTTTTTCTTTTGTTTCTTTCTCCGCAAATAACAATAGTAAAGATAAATATAGTTAAAAACACTAAAGCTTTTGTTGAAAAACTCTATATGCAACGTTTTTTCTTTAGATAAGAGTTACAGCTGCGAACTCAGCACTTTAAAATTGAATTTTTTTCGATTAGTTCTTGTAGTATTTCGGCTATGTACTATATATGAAGTTATAAATAGTGATGTGCAGGATCTGAATTACAAGAAAAGGATTGTTCTAAATGGAACTAAAGATTATAGTTAAATAGTCTATGAATTTAAACGAATGAATTAATACAATAGTGGATAAAAGTCTCTGCTCTAGAGGGCTTAAGCCATTGTAGATGTTAGAGGACTGAAAATGTGTGTGCACGTCGTTTGTCAAGACTAGAGGACAGAGACACATTCTGCTTTGATTGCTTAAGTACAGAGAGAATCATGAGGAATGACAATAGATGTTATCTATATCATCTTTGAACTTCATAACTCCAGAAAAGTTGAATTCTCTGGATCAGTGAACTGTTCAGTATGTAGCTTTATATCCTATTTATTCATCTAACTAATTTCATTGAACTTCATCAACCTTTTCTAGCACTTTTTCCAGTTTACTGCTATTATTAATATGTAGAAAATCATTTGATGTTCTTTTGAGACAAGACCATAGTAGTA